TAGCCTCTCGGCAGAGGACGCCTTCGGACCGAGAGTAAAACAGTCCAGCGCCCTGCCTGAGGGCCTCCATGGTGTTGATGACGATCTCCACGGGGCGATCGCTCCTCACGCCAGGGACATTTTCTCCCGGCCCTACCTCCCGGTCGGCAAAATACACAAAGGCATTCTCGGTGTGGTGCCCGGGGATAAAGCAGGAGTCCAAGATGGCGAAGGCTCGATCCTTGTAGGTGCGGTGGTAGAGCCTGCGTGGAATCTTCTCCAGGGGCAAAACCGGCCGACCTTCCCAGGTGGCAGAATGCTCATCCATCTCTGCTTCTGGGATCATGCTGAACCAGGCCTCCGCAAGGATCGAGTCGGGCACCCCTTTCATAGCATCTTTGGAGATGCCTTGGTTCGCCCTAGTAAGGGTAGGGTACCCTTCTAGGCCGTAGTACTCGGCGAGGGGGTGGTTGCGGTCAATTCGCAGCTGGAACCTGCTGCGGTTGTCGTTCTTGACGACAGTGAGGAGCATCCCGAGGCCATAATCCTTGTTCGTCTTCTTGTTCCAGGCCTCGAGGATCTTCCTTGTAGAGCACCACAATCCATCGCCCTGCAGACCTGAGACGATCTTGCCGCGGACAATACCGGACAAGGCAGTCTTGTGATGCTGGGGAATGTGGATATACTTGAAGTTCGGCATCTCGTCCTGAAGGATGTCAATCCACTCGGCCTCACCTTCCGGTGGGCATAAATGGATTGTGTCCCAGTCGAGGCCCAGCATGTCGACGAGGCACCAATCGTCATCGGTTGTGTAGTAGCCGGACTTGATGGGCTCGTCGTAGGCAGCCTCGTGTGGGCCCTTCTTTGCCCGCTTGGGGGCACTGGACTCAGGGTCGGTCCGCTGACGACTGTAGACCTCCCCCCTGGCCAAAAGCTTCTCCTTAGTCTCCCGCGCCGTTGACGACGATGACGGAACAACGACGGCCTCCCCTGGACGGGGGGCATTTTCCTCGCTCTTCTTGATCATCTCGTCGTAGTCCTCGCGGGTAACATATTCCCCATCTCCCAGGTGAACGTGGTCCTTGAAGTCCCGGTGGACAAAGTGGTTCGGCGCGGTGTCGGGGAACTGCTCCTGGGGTCCTTGGAAGTAGATGTCGTCCCACGGGTCAGCCTCGACAAGCGGCTGATGTGTGGGCTCTACTCTTCCTCTACGGAAGTGGTTCAGGAGCTTCTCCTCCACCTGCACGTCCACAGCGAACTTGACGTTAGGCTTTGAGACGTGGCCGTAGTTCTGCAGGACCAGGTCGATGTCGGCTTCCTTGAAGAAGGAGCATTGGTGACGAAGGACCATAATCCTGGCGGTAAAACCCAACCACCTCAACAGCTGCAAACGATAGGCGCTGTCCTCCTGGAAGTGAAAGTGGTCGAATTTGCGGATCTGGCTCGCAGGCGTATTGAAATGCTTGACGGCCAGCCCAAGTTGGGCGGCGTAGTCGAGCAAATCCGCCATGATGGTACCCCAATCGCGCGGGAGGTAGTAGTTGGCAGCGTCGGTCGCAGACGTGAGCAGCACAGTACCCACTGACGCCCTTGACTGTAGATCCGCCAACTTGCCTATCTCCCGGAGAACCTTTGGTCCAATGAACTCCCAGCTCCCCTTTGCCATGTGCGGGTAACCACGAAGCCACTCCGTCTTGCTCTTGAAGCCTGGGTCCAAAAACAGACCTCTGTCGCCGACGAACTCGTTCCCGTTCCAGATCATCATGAGGTCAATGCTCACCTGACCACTGGCGCCAGTTTCACGCTCCAGTTGGGTGATTTTTCCCACGGCGAGCTCTACGAGCCGCGTGAGATTCGCACCCCATGTAGGAATGTACTCAACGCCAAGATGATGTGGGAACGCATTGCCGCGGTTGGCCTTGATGTCTGCCAGCAGATCTGTCTTCCAATTTCCTTCAGTGAGGAACGTAGTTGTAGAGTCTGCGACGATGACAAGGTAGCGCAAACGGCCTCGAGTAGACTCGGGCTGGAGCATGGCCAAGCCTTGATCGGTGAGCCTTCCAATTTTGGCCACCAAACCAGCCTCCCTGACGTCACTGAGGGCATATTCGCATGCCAGTGGCCGCGGCAAATACTTGTAGAAGTTGTTCACGCTGGCTTCATCCTCCTGGAAAGGCGCCATGGTGCGGTATTCGGAAGACAATGAAGTCTCCCATAACCGCCGATCCCACCACTGGCGCAGGACCTCCGTCGGTGCAACGATTCCAGCGTTGGTGGCTTCCATGTCCGGCGCGCAGAAATCTGCCGCGAGAATGCAGCAGGCAGCTAATGCGTTAGTTTGTTCAGTTTTGTGAGTGCAGGCGTGTTTGTGGTTACACGAAAATTGTTGTTGTGCACATGCCGCATAATTAGAACGCCTATCGCAAAAGCTTTTCCAATCAATGTGGATGCAATCAGTCATGGCATGTGAATAGTTCTCACTGTCCTTAAGGTCCTGGCCTCTAGACTCGCCATGAACATGACTGCGATCACACTTGTGCGCTGCCAGCCGCTGCAATGGAATGGACGACGCAATGGTCCAAGCTTTCCTTAGTGGTAATCCTTGGTGATTCGTAATCCCCAACATGCAACCATCGCAACGGTAGAACTCAAGTCCAAGGTCATTAACCATATGCTGAACATGGTCCCACTTCCAATAGTCACAATCCTTAGGGAGTTCGAAGGCAACCTGTGGTTTGTACTCTTTGAGCTTTCTAATGAATTTTCGGAACTGCTTGAGGAGTTTGCAAAACAGTTCCTGATGCTGTTCCCACTTTGGGCTGTCAGGCGTCATGCGATTCCACGGACAGCCACCAGTACACGGAAGCGACGCATAAACTAAAATTGGCTTAGATGCTCCCCCCTCGTCGCAGAGGGTACTAATTTTCTGAACAACTGAAGTCAATGTAGAGTCTTTCAAGACGTCATCCTCACTGGTGACTCGCAACACATAACATCCTTGACGGGCGCTACGATCCTGCCCTAGTTTGCTGTTGGGGGAGCAACAAAACTCGACTATGATTCGTTTGAACCCCAACGGCCTCGAGTATTCTCGGGCAGAAGCAGCGCTGGCCGCACGTGGGGGCAGCCTGAATCCAAGCGACTTCAAAGAATTGAGCTCTTGATCTTGCAGTGCGTCTTGTGATCGGGAGGTGTACGCAACAATGGAGAAACGTGTTCCAGTGAAAGGTAACACACAGTGTAAATTTCGCGGATCAAAGATGATGGCTTTGTTCAGGGTGGACACAGCACGACCCTTAAGGCGCTTACCATTGGGGCCGACCCTAACAATAGCATCTTCAGATGAAACAAGGGGGTCCGCAAACCACAGTTCACCATCTTTGAAATCCCCGACACTGAGGGCAAAACTCATGCTATCCTTAGCATTCCCATGGTCTTTGTGCACAGAGGCACCAGTACAGCTATTGAGCAACACCGAGTTCCATGTGAAGTCCTTAGGAGCATGGGCTTGTACAACTCCATTTAGGAAGCGGGCAATCTGAGGCCACCGACGTGTTGCCTTAGTCACCCCTTGCATTCCTCCGTAAGACCACTGCCCAAAGATATGGTAGTAGCTGCGACTGTCAAGCTTAATCATCTTTCGCTTGGTTTTGTTGGGGTACATGATCTGGGCTACACGCAACAAAGCCTTAGTACTGAAGTCACGGTCCTTGGTAAGCTCAGCTGCGACTGCGCAAGGGTCGCCCGACGGCTTCACCACAGGGTGAGCATGAACGACAGGCTTGTTGATGAGATGAGCATCGGACTCGTGTGCCTTAGACTGCCGTCCCCCCTGAAGAGGAGCATCGACGTGCGCGATGAGCCTAAGAGCATGTTCCCATTTACCTCGGTCAGCGAAAGGTTTGGTAAAGATATCAGCTACTTGCTCTTTGGTGTCAACATTAATCATTTCGAAGAAGTTGCGCTCGAACTGTTGTTTGATCCAAGCAAACGAAATGCGTTGAGTCCGATCGGTGTGACGTAGTTTTTCGCTGTCACCTTTGAGGAGAATGGTGATGGTAGCTTGGTTGTCCTCAAGGAGTTGAACAGCAAACTTGGGGCTAAGGTGGACCTTGAGGCCGTTTAAATCGGAAACGCTTCGTCCATCCGCCCTACACTCACCATAACGGATCTCATCAAGTTCAGGATCAATTCGTGCAATGATGTCGTTTTCCCTTTGATTAGATTTGGTTTTCGGCCTAGCTTGGTAGCTGGCGGTCCTACTCGCAACCTCACGCCACAGGAAAATCCAAAGACTGAGGCTGGGCAGACCCTGGGCACGAATACCTTGGTTGGCAGCCACAACCTCACTCTCCGTACTTGAAGTGGTGATGCTGGTCTGTTTCTTGGAAAAAGCATTTAGGGGAAAGTAAGTATTGGGGCCTACCAAGTAAAGGGCACAGCCTGAAGTGGATTTACTGTCGTGGCTACCAGCGTGGTCAGCATCGCAGAACATCCACAACTTACAATCCTGAATGCGATCCCCTATGAATCCCCTCATCCGAACTTCAAGGGAAGAGTTTATGTAACTGATCAACCTGTGCAAAGCAACGTCACAGTCGCGAGACCACTTGGTGACTCTGGATGCCAGTGCCTGAGTGGCGCGTAACAAGTCCCACCTGGCCATTCTCGCAGCGAACAAAACCTTCATGAGTACGCGGCTAGCAATAGGTTGCAGCTTACCACTAGGTTCATTGTTCTCCAGAACTTTTGCTACCCGGTTCTCATGAAAAGGAGTCGCTACGTGCTTCAGGGATTTCTTGTCGACCTTGGCCAACTCACAGTACCTATCAACACAGGACACCAAGAAATCCCGCATGTCGTAGTACACAACGTTCACGGGCACAGTCATGGAAGGGGTCTTTCCCTGACTGATAGATTCAGTGCTCTTGAACTTACTCTGTCGTGCTTCTCGCTTAGCTTCGGCTTTGGACCGCTTGGGTTTATTGTGCTTAGCTGCGAGAGCATGAGAAAAGTCCTCGTCACTGACCTCTGTGATAGGGAAATATGTTCTCCCAGTCCACCAACCTGATTGGTCCGCGGGGCCCCCCTGATTCAAGTCATCATGGATAGGGTCCCTACCATCATCAAACACCGTGATTCGTTGACAGCTTATGTGGGGAAATTTCGACACGTCGTCCTGTGTAGGCACATAAAGTTTCCTACGAGGATAGATGTGATGCCTAACGACTGCAGCTAACTCAGCGTCGACCTCCCAGAAGTCCTCTTTGCGGTTCGGCCGGACTTGGTAGTCGGCAGCTGGGCTAGCGTGCTTCTTGTCGAAGACGTAAGCAAATGGGTGGTCCTCCCGTGAAAGCTGGACCTGATTTTGCTCAACGTGATGACACCCGAAGTACCGTCCCAAGACCTCGGCTGGTTCCATGTCAATCACCTTAGCGATCAACTCCCAACCTTTGTTGATTTTGTCTTGGGGGCCGGCCATCTTGAAGTCATCAACGTACACAACAAGCAACAAATCTAGTTCAGCATGGTAGAAAACAGAATGCCAAATGTCGGGTAGAACTGCAGTAAAACCAACACTCTCTAACTGTTCGGTACAGTACCTTTCCCAGATACCACCTGAGTCAGGGTGGCCGTACAAAGCGAGCCTGAGTGGGCAAACAGGATCTTCATACCCAGACCATTCTTTAGGCCATCTGTTTCGAGGGAGACGGACCCACGTTTCGATGCCTTTAAAGAGGGCTTGTGTGTATGCAGCGATGCCATCAGCCTGCTGTTTCACGTACCCGGGTTGGCTACCAAACACATCGATGATTTTCCCGGCCTCCATACTAGCGGGGCTTGATCCTAGTTCGGCGAAAATGGCGTGATCGTGATTTTCGTCCTGGACGTTGTTGCCCTGGAAAACACTACGACCCTTCCATTTCTTCTGGGGGTGCCCGTCCGGGAGTTCATCCCCCTTGACCGAACAAATCTCAAAGATTTTCCCGAAATGGGCCTTGACATTCTTGTGTTTGGCTTCCGCGGCAACATCCCGGTATTCTCGAACCTTCTTTTCGAGCCAGCAAGACTTATCGGCAAGTTTCTTCCATTCTCGGTCCATGGCTTCTTTCGCAGCGGGAGTACTTTCGATTTCTTTAGGCCCGACAACCCTGGCAACAGCAGCAAACATCTCACTCGCAACCTGACCAAGTTTGGCCCAATACAAGGACGCCATGCGATCCCTATGGGGCTCGGGGTCAGGCTCGGCGATGACAGGCATGGCCGGGGAGTCTCTAAGGGCCTTGCGAGCATCTTCCTCGGCTTCACGAGCCTTCTTGCGTTCGAATCTTTCAATGTCAGCCTCCCGTTGTGCCTTGGAATACATGTGCCAAAATTCCGAAGGAGTATCAGGTGGCCTTTTGGAACCTTTCTTATCTCTAACCAACCTCACCCCGTCCCAGTTATACCCTTTGGGGACTTTCTTCCCGTCAGGCATGGTTTTGGGGTCATGTCTTGGTAGAGTAGATGAGGCCTTAGGCACGGATGTTGCTTCCTTAGAAGATCCAGGAGCATCCCTCCCCAGCCAGTCCTCCACAGCTCCGACATCTTCGGGAACATAGTCCTCGTTTTCCTTAGCCACTTGGTCCAAGTACTCGGACAAACGATCCTTCAAATCGGAGCCGTCCAAATCAGGCACACCGGGCGGAGGCAAAGGCTCGTCCGGCGAATCCCCAGGCGGGGCGCGTGGTCCGGCACCATCTGTGCCTCCCCACGAGCAGTCCTGATCTGAGAGGGTCGGCTTACGGAGGCTCTCCTGCAGTGCAAGCTGTTCGGATCTCATTGGGAATGTGAAATCCCCAGGCAACAACTCCATTCGCTTCGACCTCAGAATAGGAAAGTTTCCTATCTCGAACGCAAAGTCACAACCCTTGACGGGGGTGACGAGGTATTCCTCCTTCCAAACGAAGCCAGGCTGAACGTGGTAACCAAGAAATATTCCCTCAACACCAGTCGGCGCAAACTTAGAGCTCGCAGGAATGTTCTGTTTGGGGTTGTTCCAGTACAACACACGTGCACCAAAAGGAATCATGATCCCTGAAAACGGTTCCCCATACCTGGCCTCCCAGGGAACAATCCCGTTGTCAAGCCTCTTAGTTGCATTAAGTGCCATCGCGTGGTGTTGGGCGGCCAACGGCCAAAGCTTGTCGGGGAGACCCGCCTGAACAAGGTTGGAGCGGGTACCCTCCAAAATCGTCCGAATTTCTCTTTCGATTACCGACTTGTTGGTGTCCACATATTCGCGGGATGTAACATGTCGGACACCTAGGCTTTTGATAGCGGCATGAAGTTCAGGTGCGTTGTCTGAGTAGAAAACGCCAACTGCATCTTCTTGACCTAGGAAGTGAAGAAGGTCTTCAAAACACTGATCGCTTGACTTAGTCGGAGAGGGGTAGACGTAACGAAATTTGGTGAACACGTCCTTAACAATAAGTGCGACCCTTTCGTCCTGGAACCCATGGTCACGAAGGTCACGAGTGATGATATGGTCAACAGTGATGTGATCCCCAAAGGCCTTTGACACAATGGTACTTGAGCCCCCCTTTTTGCGGGCTTGGGGAGCCAACATCTTTGCGCGCTGACATACCTCGCAGAACGGATTCTTGGGCCTGTGCGAGAACAAGTGCTCAACAGATTTGGCTTCAGCTTTCAGATCGGCCTCTGCAAGACTGCGGGCGTTTCCTTCGTTGTCACTGTCAGGTTCAACATCGGGGTCTTCGAAGATAGTGAGGCTCAGGATTGGATTACCCTCCAGTCGGGCAACTTTGTTGTCAAGCTCCCTGACGTTCACTTTATCCTCAACCTTGACCCAAGAACCTTCCCTGAACAACCAAGTAGATCTGACTTCGCATCTTGGAAACCTTGGTGTAGCAGTACGAAACGTCTTTGGTTTGTGTCCGACAATCAAGTACTTAGCATTTGGGTGCGAAACCCAACCTGGTCTTTTGAGCTTCTCTTTGGGGATATCTATCGGCGGCACCTCATTGATGGCTGCGGAGATCTCAGGATCGGGGTGCTCGACCACTGGATCTCGTTCCTCTGCTGCTCCTGCGAAAGCCTCGGCCGGCCCTATTGGGCGGCAGTTTTCTGAAAACCCTCGGACAAAATTGGTCGTCCGAGAGAACCTGAGGCTTCCTCCTTAGTGCTTGGAGCGGCCATTGCTCCTCCCCCTAGCACTGGGACCATACCTCTCATTCTACACCTTAGTCTTTGACCATTGGGCGCAACAAAGTAAGGCGGCCTTTTGGGGTACCAGTGGAACTCATAACCGTCCTCCATGCACCTTCTGCCTACGGAGCAAACAGGAGGGGTGCTGTTGAGAACATAGAACTCTAGCTCTTTGCCAAACTCCGGGAAGTCGATCCTAACCGACTTGTCACCTTTGACGTTACCATTAGCAGTGATGAGATTCACTTGTCGTGTTGCATTGCCTACTGGCTCTTCGCCGAAGTACATAGCACGATCAGCATCGCTGATAAGGTCCTCCTCGCTTCCTGTGTCAGCAAGGAATTCTAAGGGTGTGGCGATCCCTGGACAAGCGATCTCTGAGCTCTCAACGACGTGCTTGCACATCCCACACATGAGAGAATCAGGCTCATCACACTCTAAGTGGCAATCGGTCTTCTCTCCCCCCTCATGCCGGGCAAGAAGCATCTTGAGTTCCCTTGCGTTCCTAATTGCAACCTGAAGGTCGTTAGCGTCAGGCTTAGGGCAGTTTTCTGCATCAGCATAGCAAGTATTGTACCTGCGAACTTTGTAGGAATGTTTGTACCCCTTTCCCTCAAAAGGGATTTCCCTGACTTTGGGTTTGTCGCAAAACCTGACCTTCTTGTCTTGTTCTTTGATCTTGAAAACAGTCTTGCCGGTCCACGGCATCTTATCGCCGGTTCCCCCTCTTCCCCCTTTCCAGTCCCAGTTCTCCTTAGCAGTGTATGGAGAAATGGGAAGCGTCTTGATCACTTTGGCCTTACCCTTCAACCTTTCAAGAGCAACAGGACATGACACTTCGGGCTTGTACATAGTACTTCTGTACTTCAGATGGTGCCTAACAGCTTCACCCCTTTTGAAGTCTACTTCCCAGTAGTCTTCGTCCCCATCTTGTGGTTCACTCTCATCAGGACCAGCTGAGGCTGCAGCCGCAAGCGAGATGCAGCATGCGGCCTTCCTATCCTTTTCCTTAGAGCGTCCACGGCTTGGTTTCCTGCGCGTTGGCGCGGGTGACGGGGACCTTGGTTTGTCTGGGCCCTTAGGGGCCGGGGCTGCGTTTTCACCACCTGGGGGAGCAGGGCTCGGTTCCCTATGCAAGAAACGACACTTATCTCCCCTAGTGCACTTTCCCTTCTTCCAAAACGTGCAGACCTGTTTCTTCTTCGGGGCAGTGCGAACAGGGGATTGCGAACGGGGTTTGTGCGAAAACTTGCACTTGTCACCCCTGGTGCACTTACCCTTTTGAAAGTCGTAGCAAACTGGCTTTGGGCTTTGCGATCGGCTAGGTGATCTAGATCTGGATGGGGTCCTAGAGCGAGACCTTGACTTTGAATTGGACTGGCTACCGGCAGAGCGATCCCTTCCGCGGCCGCTCCTCGACGGAGGGCGTGTCGGCCTTCCGCCTTCAACAACAGGAGCACCAAACTTGTCCCCATGAGACTTGGCGATTCTATCCCTGTTCTTGCGCATCCTTTCACGGGTCAACAAATCCCGGATTGACTTCAACAAGAACGCATAGGAGTGTGAGGCAGAACCCTCTTTCGCCCTGTCGTAGATTTCCAAATCATACTTCATTCTTGAGGACTTTCGGATTTGCCGAAGAAGGATATCACGCAGAACCATTTCTTCTGGGACATGACTCATGCCAGCAATGACTGATTCCCAATTGTGCAGAAATGTGGTTAGATCGTCACTATGCAGTGTAACCTTCAAAAGGTCTTCTACCGAATAGAGCGATCCTACCTCTTCATTTGTTTTGAAGTACTGATCAAACATGAGCAAGACCTGGCGTCCTCGTACGGCACGTCCTTGAACCGCCTCGGTTTCCTTGAAAGTGAGTACCTGTCGAGATAACTCACCTTTGGCGACCTTAGTGAGAGCGGCTAGGATTTTGGTATCCAGCGTGAGAAACTTACCGGGCTCACGAAGCTTGTCATGATCAGCATTCTTAGAATACACCTCTAGAATCCAAGAGAAGGCTTCATCTGGTCTATCTGAAGCTGCCCTAACTGCTTCCCGTGTTGCGGTTTTCCATGCACGGTAGGTTTCGGGGTTAGGGAAATCCGGCAGGCGGATGGTTTCAGCTTCTTTAACCTTTGGTTTGTCATCTTCACCGCTTTTGTCTCCTTTAAGAAGCTTGGCGGCTTCAAGCAGCGCTTGCTGCGTCTGTGCGATTAAATCGGCTCCTGTGGCTGCCGGACCTCCCGGCGTGCCTGTTGGGGCCGCAAGACCAGGGGCTCCGGCGTTCAAACCACCACTAGAGAATCCTAGATTTGGGACGTTAGCTGATGCTGTTGGGGTCCCTGGGGCAGAAACCGGACCCTGTGGTCCTGTTGGAGTGGCAGTAGTTGCCACACCGCCAAAACTGAAGTTTGGAAACAATGCCCTGATGTTCATCGGAATCACACTCGGATCTGAAAACTGAGGGGCACACGGAGCACTAAGCCCGGCGCTTGGCGCTGGAGCAACTGGGGCAGTGGCGCTGGGAAACTGAGCTTGCTGCGAGGGATTGATACCTAAATTCCTGTCCTGTTCGAGCTGGAGCGCACGCTCCATTGATGATAATTCATCTTGGAGGGTCATGTTTTGAATCCTCATTTGCTCTTCAGTTTCCAGGGCTATACTGCGGTACCTTTTCATTGCCTCATCATGCTCTCTCCCAAACCATTCCCCAATCTCGTTAATGCTTTCCCTTTTGTTTTGTTCAGCCTCTTCAACCAGAGTTGTCCTGAGACGTGTGATTTGCGAACCAACATCGGAAAAATGTTCTGACTGAAAATTGATTATCTGGTTTTGTTGCTGGAGTTCTGAAAAGAGACCTTGGGTCCTCGCGACAAAGCTATACCTTTGGCTAGCAATTTCAGACTCAAGTCTAGCAACGACTTCCTCGTGCTGCCTGTTAGCCCTTTCTTCAACATCTGCGATTTGTTGATCATGGGCTTCTTCAGCAGCTAGGCGGAACCTCTGGTGCCTGGACTCTGCTTCGTTCTCTAACTCAGTGAGGAGAAGTCTTGTTTGTTCAGGTGTTTCACCTATCGTGATGTTCTGCTGAAACTGTTGTCGGTACATGTGGATCTGCGGAGCTCCTAGTCCTACGAAAGGAGAAGGTGCGTTTGGCGCAAACACATTAGCTGCTGCTGCATTCTCTTCCAGCACTAGGCCACGGCCATCCGTAGACGGTGGCATAGCCAAAGTGCCTGAGAGGTCCATCTCCGCGGATTCTGCGTCTGTAAATCCGTCTGTACCGAGATCAGTTGCTACCTCGGTGGGGACCAGCTCGGGGCTGTCACCCATGCACTGAGTCGAAACTCCAGGTCAGTGGTGCCGCAAGCTCCGGGGAGCCTACGGCTGATAACCTATAGTTTGGGAAATCCACCAGTCGTTATCCGTTAAGCCATGAGCAGGGGCGCGCCTAACCTTTTTACTCAGAGGGCTTGAGCGACACAAGTAAGTGCAACATACATGGAGGCAAAAGTGGAGGGAATGCACAGATATAAAATACAGAAACCTAAGGCCAAACGGAGGGCAGAAGGAGTACCACCGCGTCCTATATAGGGGCCTGAATAATTAGAAGAGGGTTTTGGGGGGTTATTATCGTATAACTACCAAGGGACCATAAGGGAATTCTATTCCTAAACCCTAAACCCTAAACCCTAAACCCTTTAGTAGATGGGAATCTCATGCCATCATCCGTCCCTCAATGCTTGTGAGGAGCCTCTGCTCGAGGTCTTGCCGCAGCACTGCTGGAAGCAGATGACTCCTCCAAGAGAGTTTAGGGTTTAGGGTTTAGGGTTTAGGGCTTAGGGCTTAGGGCTTCGGGTTTAGAACTGCTTGGTGCAGCTTTTGGGCTTCGAGTCTCTCATACTGCCATCGTTTAGGCATTCGGCTTCAGGGTTGAGAAGGTTGAGCTTTGGCGAAGCTGCAGACATCTTTCTCAAGACGGGTTAAGTCACAGAAGCCCAAGACATGGGTTTGACGTCGGAGCAGTCAAGAGTCACACCTTAAACCCTGCGCACTCAACCCGAACTCCGAACCCCACACCTCAACCCTAAGCCTCACAGCCTAAACCCCAAACCCCTAAACCAAGACCACTCCCTCAAACCCTTTCTGCTCAATAAGGTAGAATTGTAGCTGGTTAGTGGGAAACCAAAAGCTTTATGATGATCACAACTAGGTCTTGTGGAGACCGGTACCATACAAGCCTGCTTGAAGGTTCAGCGCTACTTAGCAGTGGGGGTGTAAGGTTTAGGGTAAGAGTCTAGGATGCGTCTATATGAAGGGTAAACGGTAACCATATTTCTAACCGGTTGTGACGCGTATTTAAGGCTCTGACAACCTACATGAGACTCCAAGTCACAAGTAGCCCTAAACCCTAAACCCTAAACCACAAACCCTCAACCCTAAACCCTAAACCCCTCCTGCTTGTCCTTTGCCTCCTTTGTACGGCTCGGGCTTCCCTCAGCCTTGGAATCGATGCGGCACGGTGGAGTGCAGCAAAAAAGGTTTAGGGTTTAGGGTGTTAGGCCGTTAGGGCGTTAGGGTGTTAGGGTTTAGGGTGTTCAGTTTAGGGTTTAGGGTTTAGGGTTTAGGGTTTAGGGTTTAGGGTTTAGGGTTTAGGGTTTAGAGTTTAGAGTTAGGGTTTAGGGTTTAGGGTTTAGGGTTTGTTTATAGGGCTTACAGGGCTCAGAGGGTTGATAGGGCGGGAACGATACCTCTAGAGGCTTACACCCTACCCTCTTGTACCCTCCCTTCGTGTTCGGCTGCTGTGACGCGGAACCTAGGCATAAGCCTCCATGCGCTGCAGTGCAGGTTGTAGGGAGGTCTCTCCCCACAACTAACCCCTAAACCCTAAAACCCAAAACCCTAAAACCCTAAAACCCTAAAACCCTATAACCCGAAAACCCGAAAACCCTAAAACCCTAAAACCCTAAACCCTAACAATAGAAGCCGCATCGCTGGAACCTTCACCGCCCCTTCCAGGTCGCCTTCGACAGTTCCTATATATTTAGGGTTTGGTGCTTAAGTTTAGGGTTCCTTCTCAGCCCTAAACCCTTAAACGCCTTTTTGCTGTGGCTCCCTACACTTCGACCAGCTTCGGCCCGGACCCATGTGTAGCAGACGACAACTTTCGAGCAGGTTTTCGGGTTGAGGATACAGGGTTTAGGGGTTTAGGGTGCATCTTGCACGTTAGCCGTTTGGACCCGAAACCCTAAACCCTAGACCCTAAACCCCAAACCCTAACCCCTAAACCCTAATTAAACCCTAAACCCTTAAGCTTGACTATCCTCGAAGCTGAGGTCTCGGAGCAAGGCACCTGCTTCTCTCGAGACTGCCCTGCATCGGTGGCCTGATTGGTGTAGAAGAGCCCTAAACCCCAAACCCTAGAACCCTGAAACCCTAAACCCCAAAACCCTAAACCCTAGCCCTAAACCCTAAACCCTAAACCCAAACCCTAAACCCTAAACCTTGAACCCTAAGGGGGGCCACTCCCCAATAAGGACACGAATAAGCCTTGGGATCTTGGTGCTTGTGTTCAACTGGGTTCCCTACTACCATCCTCTATACCAAAGGGTTCAGGGTTGGGGTTTAGGGTTCAGCATCTCAAGTCCAAGCATTCACTAGTCAAGCAGCTTGTCAAGCGTTGGAAAAACAGCCACCCACCCAAGAATCCCACAACATTAAGAAAATACAAAGTTCACCCAAGCATACCCAGTAGGCTTAAAGCTCAAAATCTTAACCCTGTGCCCCAAACACCCTGTGCCCCAAACCCTGCAGGCCCTAAACCCTATGACCCAAATCCTAGAAACTCTAAACCCTATGCCCTAAATTTCCCAATGCCCCAAACCCTGGAGCCTTAAACCCTACCCCAGGCCCGCGCTGGGTCCTAAACCCCTAAACAGGAGCCCCTGTTGGGGGGGGGGGGGGAGTTTTGTTTTGGAATTTATATGGCAGAGATGACCCCCTCATTTTTCAGATTCTGGTTCAGGGCCCATATGCCGACGAAGCGCGTCAGGGTTTAGGGCCCACCAGGAAAAACAATATGCCGACGAAGGGCGTCAGGGTTTAGGGCCCACGACGGAAAGAACCATTTGCCGACGAAGGGCGTCAGGGTTTAGGGCCCCCACGGGGGAAAACAACCATTTGCCGACGAAGCGCGTCAGGGTTTAGGGCCCCTGCCCCCAGGACCCTAAACGGGAGCCCCCTACGACCCCTACACTTTCATATGGTCTTCGTCTCTGCGCGCTGTCAAGGGTCTCAAAGCGCTCTTATACATGGCGGGCGTCCGACCCTCATCCAAGCCCAACTTCAACAGAAAGCCCAGACCCCAAAACCCCCAAAAAAAGCCAAAAAAGATCCCAGAAGTCACAGGGCTTAAGGTAGGGCTCTATCTTAGAACCCCAGCTTCAACCTTGCGCACTGCAGATCCTACTTGGAGGTCAGGTACTTAGTCGCCAACTACAAGTGTAGATATAACCACTTAGAAGCCCCTGAAGTACCCTTTTGTTTTACGGTTCTACGCACAGTTATCCTTGAGTTACTAAGTACCCTGAACCAAGTAGGGCATAAGCCCCTTAAGTACCCTAACAGGGTTATACGTACAGCTCTCATTCCCTAAACCCTAAACGCTAAACCCTAAACCCTAATCCCTAAACCTTAAACCCTGAAGCTCCAAGTAGGGCCGAAAGCGGCGCCTTCGCCTCTGCCAGAGGCGTCCCGAGGTCGCCCAAGGCGCTGTCCAGTTCCCTTCGGGCCGCCTGAGAAAGGGTTTCGACGCTCACTCTCGCACCCTGAGCCCTAAACCCTAAACGCTAAACCCTAAACCCTAAACCCTAAACCCTAAACCCTAAACCCTAAACCCTAAACCCTAACCCTAAATCCTAAACCCTAACCCTAAACCCTAAACCCTAAACCCCAAGAGCCCTGGCTTCCCTTAAAACAATTTAAGATCCCTCGCCTCCCCGAGACCGCCCAGCAGCTTCGCTTCTTCGAGGTCTGCCCGGGCCTGTCTCGAGGCGTTTGGGGGGTTTAGGGTTTAGGATTCAGGGTTCAGGGTTTAGGGTTTGGGGCTTTAAGGGTTTGGGGTTTAGTGTTCAGGGCTTAGGGTAGAGTTCTTAGGGTCTGGGGCTTTAGGGGTTTGGGGTTTGGGGTTCAGGGCTTCGGGCAGAACTGCCGTTTGTAGTGAGAGTTTTGCCGCCTCCCTCGTGGCTGAACGAACGTCTGCTGCTTGCGGCTTAGGGCTTGGTGCTTCGTTAGTGCTTGACTTAGATACAGGGCTTTTGGATGTTTAAATCAGGTTACGTGAGGTCCCTGCTGCTATTGGGGATTGCGCTCACATCCTCGATCTGGGCCAACGACCTACGAATGTGCAGCAGCATGTTCATGAACTGCCACATTAGGGTTTAGGGTTTAGGGTTTGGGGTTTAGGGTTCAGAGAATCACGCTGTTCCTCAAACCTAAGTACTGGACGATCGATCAGTGTAATGGCCCTGTTATGACTCGCCCTCAACCCCAATACGTACCCAAAAACCCTTCACCTGAATGGGAAAACCAACAGACCCTTGTAGACAAAAACGACCCTAAACAAGGCTGTAACCTATTATGACGATAGTTGCCCAACCATGAACCTTTCAGTATGTAGGCCCTATCGATGGAAACCGCCCCCATTCACGCCCTGCACCCTAAACCCTGAACCCTGAGCCCTAAACCCCAAACCCTAAACCCACATGACACAACACACCGGGTCCAGATCGTTCTTGCCCAGCGCTTTCTGCGCTAGGCCCTGCACCTGGGTCCACAGCATGCACAAGAGAATACCTAGGTGGGCGTGTACGACAACTCTAAACCCTAAACCCTAAACCCTGAACCCTAAACCCTAAACCCTAAATCTTTTTGGGGGTCCTTACGTTAAGGGAATCTTACTACTTGGGGGTCTCTATAAGGGGCCCCTTATTGTCGTAAACCTCCAGGTTGCCCAGCCACGCAGGATTCAAAAGGGCTCAGGTTTATTAAGGGGGTTTATAAGGGAACCCCTAAACCCTAACCCCTGAACCCTGAACCCTAAACCCTAAATGGAATAAGGTACGACTGCGCATGTTAGATCCGACTTCAGGTTTATGGCTTAGGCTCCGTTGAGGGTTTCGGATCCTAAGCGCATGGGGGTTTAGGTTCCCTGGTTTAGGGTTTAGGGTTTAGGGTTCGGTTGTCGTTGAGGGTTTAGGGTCGTTGATCTCCGTGAGCATCGGGTCTTAAAAGGTTAGGCGCAGGGCGAGTCTTGAAATTCAACCTGCAAAGACAGCCGGGCGGGGTTTAGGGCTGAGGGTTTGGGGTTTCGGGTTTAGGGTTTAGGCTTTAGGAGGGGGGAGAGAGGCAAGAGGGGTAGGTGGCTGAGCTTCACGCTAGCAGCAGCTCGGCGTGTCTAGCGCCGGTGGTCGCCTCAGCATCTAGGTCGCCCAGGAACGGATACTTGAATTAAGAATCACAGGGCTTGGGGTTATTTAGGGCTTAAGGGTTTAGGGTTAAGGGTTTACGGCTAAAGGGCTTAGGGTTTAGGACTTAGGGTTTTAGAAGTTTCCTCAACTCTCAACTAGCGAAAGAAGGGTGCTACTGTGCATCCTACGGCCGACGCGAACAGAAGCCAGGAATCGCGTGAGGGTTTAGGGTTTAGGGCTTAGGGTTTAGGGTTTAATTAGGGTTTAGGGTTTAGGGTTTAGGGTTTAGGGTTTAGGGTTTAGGGTTTAGGGTTTAGGGTTCCGGTGCTGTATACCCGTGAACAAATCCCACAGAACCCTACAGGCCCTAAGCCCTTTTTGGGGCGCCTAAGCCCTCAACCTTGGGGATGCTCGCCTTCTACAGTCCTGAATAGGGATCCCAGTACCCTAAGGGTCCATGTACCTAAATAGTACATATTTGGGCCTTAAGGGGTTCCCATATGGTAGCTTTAGGGCCCAGGTATATACTATATAGGTACATGGACCCTTAGGGGTAGCGCCTATGATTTTCCCTATTTTGGACTGTCAGTATAAAGGGTGAACATCCCAAACCCTAAACTCTCAACCCTCAACCCTCAACCGTAAACCCTAAACCCTAAACCCTGAACCCTAAACCTTTACCCTGAACCCTGGATCCCAACCTAAACCCTTAAAGCCGTGCAGACCATCGAGCCCTGCGGGCCTTAGCCCTTTTTGTCCAATCCGGACTCCCTCAGGTGCCAGCTGCCCTAAACCCTAAACCCTAAACCCTAAACCCTAAACCCTAAACCCTAAACCCTAAGCCCTGCTCCTGAGTGGGCGATTTCGCAGGAAGGGTTCCGCGGGTCCAGTCGGCAGAGGTTCCTTCCTCCATCAAAAATTGATCTGAGCTTCAAAGCCCCTTTTGAGCCAGACTTTGAAGCCCAGAGGCCACAACTTTTAGGGTTTAGGGTTTAGGGTTTAGGGTTTAGGGTTTAGGGTGCCCCAGAGGAAGCCGAAACCCTTCAGCCCTGGACCTTAAACCCCCAAACCCAACAACCCCCCTGTCCCTGCACTTCGAGGTTGCCCTGTGAGCTGGGAGCAAGAAGAGTGCCCTTTTGTTGCTTACAGGGGCTTACGAGGGAACCTAAACCCACCCAAAAAAGGAACAAGGGCACTACGGGGCATCCCTAAACCCTAAACCCTTAACCCCGAACCCTAAACACCTCTGTCGCCGCATTTCTTGAGACCTGGGTGGCCAGGCCATGAATCCGGTGCAGAGTTCCAGGGCCTCGGAGGCATGCTCCTCGAAAAGGTGGATCCTCCCGCGCGCTAGGGTTTAGGGTTTAGGGTTTGGGGTTTGGGGTTTGGGGTTTGGGGTTTGGGGTTTGGGGTTTGGGGTTTGGGGTTTGGGGTTTGGGGTTTGGGGTTTGGGGTTTGGGGTTTGGGGTTTGGGGTTGAGGGTTGAGGGTTGAGGCTTTAGTATAAGGGTTAAGGGTTCAGAGTTTTAAGGTTAGGGTTTAGGGTTCAGGGTTCAGCGTTTAGAGCTTCCCAGATCCCGACATGCCTAAGTTGAAGAAAACTTACGGCTTATGCCGCGGGAGGGTTTTTGCTCCTAAACCCTAAACCCTATACACCCTACACCCTAAACCCTCGCGCATTTTGGTAGCAGTAGGAATCCAAGAGTTGCAGAACGTTGAGGGCTTGGGTCGTCGTGACTCAGACCCCAATAAGGTACCCCTAGTATGGTAAGCCCTAAACCCTCAACCCTAAACCCTAAACCCTAAGCCCTAAACCCCGCATCTCGAGTCCTGATCGAGCTGACGACTTCTCTTCGGAACAATCGGTTTGCGCACGGAGAGTCGGCTCGGATGTGCAGTCCCCTAAACCCTAAACCCTAAACCCTAAACCCTAAACCCTAAACCCTAAACCCTAAACCCTAAACCCCTAAACCCTAAACCCTAAACCCTAAACCCTAAACCCTAAACCCTAAACCCTTCCATGCTTCTGCGCAAACTCCAAGAATTAACCTCCGAGGTGCTGCCGTCATTATGACGAGGAAGGATGCAAGACTTTAATCGGATACCAGTTTGGTAGTACACTTCAGCGGCCTTTGTTGGGGGGTTTGGGATTGGAGATCATAATGCCACGGAGCTGCCCGCACGTTTCTGCCTCTAGTCCTTGTTCTGCACTAGTTGGATTCACTAGTCCTAGACCCCAAAAACCCAGAACCCCACACAGAAAACAACCCCAAACGCACTAAGCTCTTGCAGCAGGTCTGGGATAGCCCTAAACCCTAAACCCTAAACCCTAAACCCTAAAACTCGGCTGGCAGCTCAGAGGCGCCTGGCCAAAGCCACGGCCCACAGCCTGGGCTCGATCTTCACCCCATCAAATCGGGTTTCGGGTTTGGGGAACTTGCCTTCGGGTTTAGGACTTAGGACTCAGGGTTATGGTTTAGGGTTTAGGGTTTAGGGTTTAGGGTTTAGGGTTGAGGGTGAATACACCTTACACTTTGTGGAAAGAGGGGGGAGAGATGGGGGCTTCTTCGGGCTTGGCCAATTGGAGTGCGGAATGGCCGCGCCGTGGCCGGATCCAGCTCGCGCAGCTTGCGAAAGCTTTGCTTCGCCTGACGAATGGTGGTCCCCATGTTTTTTTTTTGTTTTTTTTTTTGGGGGGGGGGGGGGGGTTTAGGGTTTAGGGTTTAGGGTTTAGGGTTGAGGGCGTGGGAGTCACTATTTTGGGGTGGGGCAGGTGCTCTACAACCTAGCGTGGGCCTACGGTGCTCAAGGCTAAGGGCCTGCGATGACCCCGCTTCCCGAGCTTGGAAGGACGGAAGATTTCTTAAAACGGTGGCTTCGCCACTTAAAAACTTAGAGGAAAACTCGCCCAAGAGGCTTCCTTCCACGCAGCAGGCACGGCACGAGCACATCACGATTGCAATGCCACGAGGGCGTACCCAACATCCAAACCCGCCAAACCCCTAAAATTCATGAGCTCATGGTGATTTAAGGAAGATACCTTTAACAAAAAACAAGGGGTTCTTACTTGTGAGTAACGAGTCTCAGTGTGTTCCTTGTGGAGGCATGGCCCAGCATTGCACCCTCCCGGTCTATGAAGCGGCGGAAGTGAGCGCGCTCTACAGCAGCTAAACGGATCGTTGGCGCAGGGGCACTTTAGTGTTTTCTTCGCCAAACATCAGGGTACCTACCGTGATTTTATACTATATCTGGGGCAGGTTGGGGGTGTCCCCTATTCTGAGGGGGGGGGGGGGAATGCCCACCTATATATACCCTGAACCTCAAAACCCTTAGCCTGAACCCGAAAGTCAACCTAAACACCTTTCTACCCTCAACCCTAAACCCCTCGCTCTTGCTTGCGTGTGGCCCGCATCCGCGGCCCCAAGCCCCCACTTGGGGTCTGCAAAGGGGAACCCTAAACCGTAAACCCCAAACCCGTAAACCCCAAACCCTAAACCCTGAACCCTAAACCCCTAAACGCCCGAAACCCCTGAAACCCCAAGCGCGCCCTCCACAGCCTCGGCGACGTTGCCCTGCTTCCAAGCCAAGGATGCCTGGGCGCCCAGGACGCAGAGGTCCTCGGCGCTCTGCCTGAAGGTTCGAGGGGTTCTTGTAGGTAGGGGGGTTCAAGGGGGGTATGTAGGTAGGGTTTAGGGTTTAGGGTTTAGGGTTCAGGGTTCAGGGTTCAGGGTTCAGGGTTCAGGGTTCAGGGTTCAGGGTTCAGGGTTCAGGGTTTTCGGGTTCAGGGTTCAGGGTTTAGGGTTTAGGGTTAGGAGGGTCTGGGGTCCAGTTTTTTTTTTTTTTTTGGGGGGGGGGGGGGGGGGGGGTTGAGGGTCTCTTAGGGAGGCTTAGCGAGGTTCTTAGGGTTTTAGGGACATTTGAGGGTTTTGGGTTTTGTTGTTGTTTTCCTGCGCAGCAGGGGCGAGTTACATCGCAGGGATGTCCTCAAGATTACATTCCGGCAGCTAACTCCAAACTCATGACTTCCCAAACATCTTCTTTCTTTGCTTCTGGGAGGCTTCGGGGCTTCGTAGGTATATAGGGACTATATACGGTATACATAGGGGTTCTATATGGGAATAAGATTCAGGTCCCTTTTAGGGGTACCTCCTTATGCCCCTTAGAACAAGCTACATGAACACACGGCCGAAAGGAAACGACACAGGAAAGGCAGGTCCGAAGTCAGCTCAGGCGCTTCTCTGGCAGCTTCGGGCGTAAGGCATCGACCTTCCGGTACAGAGCATGCTCTCTCAGCCACACCGACCACATTGCATACTCACTCTAAACCCTAAACCCTAAACCCTACACCCATGCGAGTCAAGGGGAATGGCGGGTGCGCAACTGCAGGTGGCCATTGAAACACATGTCCCAGATGCAGCCCTAAACCCTAAACCCTAAACCCTAAACCCTAAACCCTAAACCCTAAACCCTAAACCCTAAACCCTAAACCCTAAACCCTAAACCCCAGGCTGTCCAAGGCACCTCTCTCCGCTGTGCGGACGTCAGGGGTGCTCGATCTGCCTACAATCAAGGAACTGAAGGGTTTAGGGTTTAGGGTTTAGGGTTTAGGGTTTAGGGTTGCAGGTTCCACCTTACACGAACAGTCCTTCATAAGGGGTTATAGAAGGGGGGGTACTCTAATGCCTGTTAGAACATCCCAAAAGGGGGTGCTTTAATCCCTGCTAAGGACTTTTCGTAAAGAGGGGGAACAGCCCAAGTTGCAGGTCTTCCGCCATGCTCATACTTACATGTAAAGTCAACACAACCTCACGAGGCGTGCTACACCGGCCCATGGGTAGAGGGCAAGCGCCACACAACTTTCTGGGCTCAGTTCGTCGTGCACGATGCGAGGAGCACCCTCTGTTGAACCAGGAGCTTGGTGTATAAGCCCCTGAACCCTAAACCCTAAACCCTAAACCCTAAACCCTAAACCCTAATGAAGCCCTAGCCCCTAAACCCGCCTAAACCCCCAAGTCCACCTCCGCCAGGGCGGCTTGAGCCCCGGAATCCCCCAGCGCCGCGAGCGCCCGCGCGCGGAGGACGGATCCCTCTGGGTTCCTGCTCAAGGGAGGCTCAGGGGTTTAGGGTTTAGGGTTTAGGGCTAGGGTTTTGGGTCTTAGAGTTTCGGGGTTTTGGTATAGGGCAAGGGAGGCTTGGGGTTCGGCCTATGTAGATGGGTTTTGGGTTCAGGGTCTTAGAGTTCGGGTTAGGGTTTCTCGGGTTTAGGGTTTATAGGGTCTAGGGCTATAAGGCTGAGGGGCTGAGATCTCTAAAGCTCAGAAGGTTGGCCCTGGTCTTAAGAAAGAAAGTTCAACATACTCGGCATCTGAGCTTCAGGCTGAAGGTTTCGTATGGCTTTAGCTCTTACACATGATGGCCCTCTCTTAAATATGACCCTCTGAAACCCAAGGAGGAAAATATCAAATGTCCCAAAAGGGCTGCCTAGCTACATGTAAGGTTCTTCATCGCTTGCCTGGCCGGCTGCGTCACACTGCCTAACGTGTGAAGTGTTCGAGCGTGCAACAAGCTGAAGGTGCTGAAGTCTAAAGTCCCGGAAACCAGAAAGCAGAACTTGCCGCTGGGTGATGCAAAGACCCCAATGAGGTCTCTAACAGTATGCAACGGGTTCTGGACTCTGCTGTTCTGGGACACACTTATGATGAGCGGGTGGGTGGTGGCATTAGAACACACTTTGGGTGGGCAGGGCCCGGGACCGCGGATTCGCCAGGGCTTCTTGGGGTGCTCCTGAGGTAGAAGCACGAATCATAACCCTAAACCCTAAATCTTAAACCCTAAATCCTAACCCCTAAACCCTAAACCCTATTCGCAGTCTTGGCTGCAAGTGGCGCCCAGGTTGTACACGCAGCCTTGGCTGAAGCTCCAGCACGCGCCGGGCATCCGCTAGCGCCTTCTAACCGGCCAGTCGTTGTAGGGCTCAAGGTTTGGGGCCTAGGGTTTAGGGTTTAAGGTTTAGACTCGGGTCCACTTTGGGGGGGGGGGGGGGGGGGGGGGGGGGGTACCCCATAAAGTGCCCTAAACGCGAAACCCTAAACCCTAAACCCTATACAGTGCGGAACCTGACAAGAAGGACCCCAGAAAAAAAAAAAAAAAAAAAACTCATTTAGAGAGCTGCCCACATTTGGTGTCAAGGGTTTCGGGCGACTTCCCCACGGAATAACCCCAAGTCCCACTGTTCTGGGCTATGAGGGCGGTCGGCTTCAAGTGTCTTTGATGTGAACCCCAAACTTGAAGCCTCTACTCCGGGTTAACGGGCTTAGGGTTTAGAGGTTAGGGTTGGGATGTTCCCCCTTATACTATTTTTACCCGGGGTACTTTCATCCTGTTCGTATAAGGGGGAACATCCCAAGGTTCGGGTTCAGGGGGTTTGTGGGGCTTTTGGGTCCGTGTTCGGTTGCTTTCGCACCTATAAGCTGGATGAGAGTCCGACACTGCCAGTTGCCCACAACGTCTGCCTGCAGCCTGTAAGGCCTACATGTGTATAAGGGGACTAACATAACTATACACATATTATAGGGAAAGATATTTTGTATTCAGGCAGCAATGTCTACGCGCATGTGTACGTGTAAACATGAATAGGTGCATGCAACATTGAGTTATGTATGTACTCCTGGTCATGGGTTAATGACCTCTGTGTGTGTGCGTTCATGCCGAAGCTCGGTACATCGATCATGGCTTCCGAGACCCAACGCCTGGCCTGCTGGTTCTCACCCGTCTGCAGTCTCCTTGTCCGTATGGATTTCAGAGCACTGCATACAAACTAAAGCCTAAATCCTATAGATCCAAACCTCAAAACCCTGAACCCTTTTTCACAAGGGACTCGACTGCTGCCCTGAACCCTAAACCCTAAAACCCTTAAACCCCAAAACCCTGAAGCCTAAACAGTTTGGGAGTATAAGGCTGTAGAGCCAAGGGCTTGCAGTGTTGGAGCCCTGCTATGCCGGCAGGGTCTCTGTCGGATGGGGCAAAGTTTGACGAAATGGCTGTACACAAAGGATTCAGGATGGGCTTGAAAAAGGCCCTTTATAGGGGTTTAGGGTTTATACCCTACAAGCCCTTTAAAAGGCCCTTTGTAGGGTTGCTGGTGGGGATTCTTAGGCCGAACTTCCCGGATCCTTGCTAAGACCAACATTCTAGAGCTTCCTGCCCAAAACCTTTTTAAGCACGGACCCTAAACCTTCATCCCACAGCCGACCTACTGAACCCAGCTGTGCATGCACCGACCATGCCATCAACCTCCGCCAACCCACTCGCGTCACACGATTCCCGTACAGGCAGTGCGCATGATCCCTGGGAAAGTGCTGAATACACCCATTTAGGCTTTCGGCTTTAGGGTCCTTCTACCCCCCCCCCCCCCCCCAATCCCACTGCGCAGCTAGAACCGCCATGCAGGTCCCTGGATGTCTCTGGGACCGCAACCCTTGTGCTCCGCCAACACAAGCCCCAAAAGCCCAAGTCCTGAACACCTACTTAGGGTTCTTAAGGGAGCGGGCTTCATGGGGGGTAGGTACCTATAGGGAACCTTAGAGGCCCTTAGGGAGTACAGTAGTGGGGAGTATTTGGGAACCTTGGGTTACATACCTCCCCTAAACCCTAACCCCTAAACCCTAAACCCTAAACCCTAACCCCTAAACCCTAAACCCTAAACCCTAAACCCCTAAACCCTAAACCCCACATGTTTACCGCTTCCAAGTGGCTGGCGTGCCCTCAGCGCCCACCAAACAGCGCAGCGCTCATCCAGGGCGATCAGGGCCTCAAATCGTGCAGCTTCTTGTGCCCGAAGCCCCAAAAGCACCCTGTAGGGTTTAGGGTTTAGGGTTTTAGGGTTTTAGGGTTTTAGGGTTTTAGGGTTTTAGGGTTTTAGGGTTTTAGGGTTTTAGGGTTTTAGGGTATAGGGTTTAGGGCTGAGGGTTTAGGGTTCAGGGTTTCGCCCCCGAAAAACCTTCCAATACCCCAAGCTTCAGGGTTTCTGGGATTCGGGCACTGTACCGTTTAGGGCTGAGAAGAGGGGACAGGATGCCCCTTTACCACACACCTTACACTACGGCACATTGGGGTTTAGGGTTTAGGGTTTCGGGTTTAGGGTTTAGTTCCGAAAATCGGGGTACCCTTTTGGGCGGGTCCCTTTAAGGGGGATGCTTTGCGATTTGGGTTGTAAGTGGGGTACAGCACCCCTCTTTTGGGACATGCCCATATGATCATCTAATTTGCCATTCAACCTTTTCGTGTTCATGCAAACTCCCTTGCCCCATCGAGGTGTCTAAAACCATCAAAAAGCCCCAATGCCCCGATATCAAGCCCCCAGAAAACCCAAGAGCCTCGAACCCCACGAGTTGGGATGTCCCCCCCTATACCAACAAGGACTGTTTGTATAAGGGGGGACATCCCAACCCACAAGCCCTAAATCGCCACAGAAGCCGACAAGCCCAAAACACTTAACCCCGGCTCCTTCATCCCTCCATCCTGCCCAAAATGCTCGCAAACTCCACCAAAAAGATAAACTTTAGGTCAGCCTACAGGTGTTCCAAACCAACAAGAGCACGAAACCCCGAACCCCCTAGAAGGGTTTAGGGTTTAGGTTCTTCCACCTACCTGTACCCTAAACCCTGAACCCTGAACCCTAAACCCCAAACCCCAAACCCTAAACCCTAAACCCTAAACCCTAAACCCTATAGATGGGTGCAATCTCCCGCGGAACCAAGCGTCGTTAAGCGCCTCTTCGGCATCCGAGTCCCGTCCGTCGCGGGAGGCCTGGAACGACACACTTTGGGATAACTACCTGGACCAACGTGAAGTCCTAACTTGATACTTAGACTAACAGTCCTTTATAGGGATTGCAGTAGGGGGGTACTACAGTGCCAAGTAATTAAGGACGGTTAGTATAAGGGGGAACATCCTAACCTAAAAGGTTCAGGGTTCAGCAGCAGGTACGGCGACTTCTGTTGAAGCCTTTCATTCCTTGTTGAAAGGCCGGACTCTGACACCTGCCTGATCCGTACCCTAAACCCTAAACCCTAAACCCTAAACCCAAAACCCTAAACCCTAAACCCCACGAACCAGCCAGCCCTAAACTCTACGAAGCCCGGAAACAGCCGACTCAACCACTCTAATCAGGTCGAACCCCCCCCGCCAACAAAAAATTGGGCTTCGGGATAAGAGCTTCTGCAGGATCCCTTTTGTCTAAGGGTCCGGGATAGCCCCACATTGATTACCTACACCATACTCCTTCTGAATTCAAGCCCCAGAAAGAGAAAACTACACTTCTCGTCCCAGAAAACCCTTTACAGCAGGCCTCGGCAAGCTGCAGCCACCCTGAACCCTAAACCCTACACCCCCTTCAGTCAGGCCCCACCTGAAGTGGAGACAATGATGTGTTTGGATGTTACCCCTGATATGAACACATAGTCCTTAAACGGGATGAAAACAGGGGGTACTATAATCCCTGTTAAGGACTGTTAGTACAAGGGGGAACATCCCAAATGATTTGCATGATTGCAGGAACACCATCACCCCTCCGCTCAAAACACACACACACACATATACGGCTTAGGTATATATGTATATTTACATGCATATACTCACGCCTACAAAAAAAGCTCCGAAACCCTAAACCCTAAACCCTAAACCCTAAACCCTAAACCCTAAACCCTAAACCCTAAACCCTAAACCCTAAACCCTAAACTCTAAACCCTAAACCCTAACCCTTTGACCCTGCAAACCTCTGCTTCTCACAGATGGCCTCGAGGACCGCCGCTGCCAAGCTGCAAGCATCTTGTCCAAGCATGGCAGCAGCAAAACCCTAAACCCTAAACCCTAAACCCTAAACCCTAAACCCGAATTTAGAGAACTGACCATTTAGGGGTATGGAGCTTAGTAGATACTTGGGCCCGTATAGTAGCTTTAGGGCCCGGGTACATACTATGGAGGTACATGGACCCTTAGGGAAAGTGGTGGTGGCTTCAAGGGTTGGCGGGGCTTGTGGAGACTTAGTTGCTGAGTTCATGAGGCCCCCCTCTCCCAAAAAGTGTTAAGTGTACGCATTCTGCAACTAAGGTGGAGAGGAACAGAACTTGAACCCCCAAGAAGGTTTCGACTCCGCATGCTGTAGCGTTGATTGGAGCAGCGTGGGGTAGACAAGCATCACGATGCTATGCTGTGCGGGCTAGGGTCTAAACCTACCACACACACACAGAGCCACATTCAGCGTAAGCTACGCCAACAAGGAATAGCTTGACAAATCCTCCTCCTACGAACGTAAAACCCCCCCTACTCCGGAAGGTTACTGTGTCATTGGAACTGTATCTGTTGCCCAAAACAACCTACCCTCAACCCTGAATCCTAAACGCTATACCCTCAACCCTAAACCCCAAACCCGAAACCCCACTAACGGTGGTTGAAAGAACCTGACGCCTGGATCATGGTCCCTAGATGGCACCATAGAACCCAGTAACATGCGTTTCGGGTTTACCTACAGCTCTATGGGTTCCACCTACAAATTCAGGTGGTAGTAGATACTAAACTGTAGGTAAAGAGTCCCAGGTAGGGCTGAGGTTGGAGGCCCAATCCGGGTTCAAGAACTGAAATCAAGCATGCTTCTCGGAACGGTCTTACTGGGTTGGAATGGTGGCGCGTCGCCTTAGGTCCTTTTGCTGCGTTCTTTGTGCACATGGAGCCGGCAGCCCATGTCGCAAGGCCTTCTGAAATCATCAGGGTTCAACGAAGAACGAACATGTTAAATGCAAGTCACACATCGGAAGCTTGCAGCAGCGAAGTTGATGGCACCAAAGATTACATCAGCATCCACCAGCTGCCAACTGCTTGCCACAACCCCGCCAACAGCGTCAGATACTTGTATAGCATGCGGCAAGACTCGCCAAACCTTCACAGGTTTGTCAGACATGGTCCAGAGCGCGCCGCATGTCAAAAAACCTTGGCATACTCGCCCCTCGACCCAAAACCCTAAACCCTAAACCCTCGACCCAAAACCCTAAACCCTCTCGTAAAACCAGTCTTCGGTGGCCGCGCACGGTTCGAGGGGTGAACAATCAGATATGTTGCGCACACGGCCCACACCTCCCATCGGGGAAGAATCTTTGTAGGGCTTATATACAATATACTCTGTTTATAGACATATACAAATTATAACATTGCAAAACATATACTACAGACTATACACTTTGCATACTACCTTGTGTGTGTTCATCTGGGAGGGCGGCCAATGCTGCACGTGCACGGAAAATCTTCCTGTTGCTCGCTTAGCAGTTCTCACCCTAAGTTGTGTAGGTTTGGGGGTTTCGGCTAGAGTTTAGGGTTTAGGGTGTAGGTTTTTGTAGGTAAGTAGGTAGAACCCATGAAATTTGTAGGTAAATACTTGGAGTTAAGTAGAGTCCCAGGACCACTCGTTTATGGACATTGTTGGCTGTTGAGCCAGCATGCGCAGCACTGCCCCACAGGCCGGAGCTCTCACCCTAAGACTTTTATTCCAACTACTTGAAGGTGTTTTTGCTAATTGACTTGCTGGGGGTTAGTTGGCTGGCTTGTTAGGGGTTACCGGCAGCCTAGATAAGGTGAAAACCTGTTTATAACTATACCTACCTCACTCTCACCTGTAAGTACGCGCGAACCTCCAAGAAAAATGAGCGCCAACGGGGGGCGGGGAAAGTCCCTTGTGAAGGGTCCTGTCCCCTAAGGGTCCATGTACCTCTACAGTAGATACTTGAGCCTTAAAGGGGTTCCTCTATAGTAGCTTTAGAGCCCGGGTATATATATATATATATATACATATATATATATATAATACTACATAGTAATAGTAGATACTTGGGGCCTTAAAGGGGGTTCCCCTATTTTAGCTTTAGGGCCCGGGTGTAGGTACATGGACGCTTAGGGCTCCTTGAAAAGCACTGCAAAAGAGGCCCGGCATCTAGGAGGTCTACCTTGGACACTTAGGGTTGGACCCTTGGGGGTTTTGGGGGGTTAGGGTTTAGGGTTTAGGGTTTAGGGTTTAGGGCTTAAGGTGGTATAAGGTCCATATCAGGAGTGTATTCATTAAGAGGAACCTTTAGGGCTACTTCATCCCTGGACTGTAGCTCTCACGCCTGGCGCGCGTGGGCTTGGCGCTGGAAGACATGTCTCAACTTTGTGGGACTCATGCGGCCGCCGCAGCAGACTTGCAGTTCACAGGCCTTCGTAGACTCGAAGCGCCCCACAAGAGCTGCTCTCAGTCAGTGTTTAGGGTTTAGGGTTTAGGGTTTAGGGTTTAGGGTTTAGGGTTTAGGGTTTAGGGTTTAGGATTTAGGGTTTAGGGCCTAAGGGTATATCTTGCCCCACGGTACCTGTAATGGTCTTCTCCCAAGCAGGCCCGACATGCCGAAAGCAAAGCCACCCCGTTTTCACGGATCATAGCTAGGATGGCCCGATCTAGGATGGCCCTTAAAACCTTAGTTGTCCAGTGGGGTCTATGGGCTTAGGGTCTATGGGTTTAGGGTTTAGGGTCTAGGGTAGTTGCCCAGTAAGCTGGGGGAATTGAAGGTTAACCTTTGGGATTGCTGGGATCATACTACCCCAAAAAGGTTCAAGGTTACCTACTCTACTGCTGGGAAACCCTCTGAAAGATGTTCCTGAACATGATCCTCTGAAACCCAACAAGGGAAAATACATAATGAGGACCCAAAAGAGCAACCCAGGAGACGGTGAGGTTATCCCAGAGAGCCCAATACCCTTTTCAGTAAGGACTATGTCACAAACTATGGTAAAGTTCCTGACGGCACTCAATTGCTGTGTGACTTCATTTGGTCACTCCTCTACAATATGGTCCCTTTTTGGGGTCCTGAATAGAAGGAGGCCCCTCCGGTTGCTTTTGGGGTCCTTACTGTTACGTAGGGTACCCAAAACGGGGCCCGTATTTAGAGAACTGACCATAAACCCAAAACCCAAAACCCTGAACCCAAAACCCAAAACCCAAAACCCTAAACCCTAAACCCAAAACCCAAAACCCTGACCCAAAACCCAAAACCCAAAACCCAAAACCCTAAACCCTAAACCGGCAAACGCCAAAGCCCACGCACGGCTGGGGCCACTGCAGCACGGATTGCTGTGCCCAGGCCTCCGCCGGAGGTGTTAAGATTTGTTGGGGTTTAGGGTTTAGGGTTTAGGGTTTAGGGTTTAGGGTTTAGGGTTTAGGGTTTAGGGTTCAGGGCTTAGGGCAACTCCCTCCTTTCTAGGGAAACAGCACCTGATCCCATGATGCGATACTACATCATACCTTGGAAGAAGATCATACTAAGGGGTGACAAGGGCTTAAGATGGAAGGCCCACGCCGGGAGTAGCAAGCTCAAGCACCTGTGGCTCAAGCGGCGAAACTCTAAACTCTAAACCTATACCCTAACAACCCTAAACTCTAAACCCTACAACTTAAACCCTGAACCGTAAACCCTGAACCGTAAACCCTGAACCGTAAACCCTGCACCGCGAACAAAGGGAAGGTGGAGGTCCCAGGGCTGCAAAAAATTCGGGGCGGCTTCGGGCTATGGGGGTTTACGATATTAGGTTTAGGGTTTAGGGTTTAGGGTTTAGGGTTTAGGGTTTAGGGTTTAGGGTTTAGGGTTTTGGGTTCAGGGTTTAGGGACCCGTAATATGGGGAGCTTACGATATTAGGTGGACCTTATTGAGGTCCTTGTTAGAAGGGGACTCTACTACTTGGTCTGTTAATATCGTAAACCCCATATTTGTTTTTCCTTCTTTTGAGTACCGCGGGAAAAATCGGATAAACATGCATATAGGTTGAGGGTTTAGGGTTACTGCACACATTTGTCTGTAGAACAAACGAGGGGTGCCCTCAAAAAGGAACTACAACTAGGGCACAGCTCATGGCAGGTCATACCTTTTTTACTTAAATGAAGAAAGAAAACAGGGAAAAGATGTCGCCTCAATCCCGGATTAAACCGCAAAAGCCAGGTTGGGTCTGAGGCTTTGGGTTGCCGTGGGTGTGGCCTCATGCTCGAGGAAGAGCGGATGAGTCCGGTTCACCCCTGTCAAAAGCAGCTCCGTGCAAGTCCTCGTGTTCGTACCTCACGTGCGTGCGAGTGATACCCCTCATCCCCCAAAAGCCAATCCTGGGAGATTCTGGAGGGCGGAGACCCTAAACCCTAAACCCTAAACCCTAAATCCTAATGTTTTGGCTCTTATCTTCTACTGTGGGCACATTCCTTGGGTAGTCCCTTTCAGGGAGTGGCAGGTCTCCTCCCATACTCCCTTCTCAGGTGTGATTCTTTGGTTTAGGGTTTCGGGTGTAGGGTGCAGATACTGTAAGGACTAGGGTGAGGGTGCTGTGCTGAGGAGCATGCCACATGAGTAATCTACATACTGTAACCCACCATGAAATGTCATGGCGGTCGTGCGACGGCCGCGGCGTCTACATACGGGGACAAGCGCATAACCCTAAACCCTAAACCCTAACTCCTAAACCCTAAACCCTAAACCCTGGCCAGAAGTCTATGGAAGCCCTTGGACTGGCCTCCTTGTAGGTTGTTCATGACAAATACAGTACCAAGTTCAGGGTGTAGGGTTTAGGGTTGAGGGTCCTGTTCCTTGCCAAGGTAGGGGGAAGTTTGCAGAGGGGGGCGGCTGCGAAGAAGTCGTCTTTGTTTGAAGGTAAGGTAGCAGCTCAATTCGTGTTGCCTTACTCATGAGTTTGGGTCACGCACACATGACGCAAAAGTCCATGAACCAGCCAAGTAACCCTAAACCCTAAACCAGCCACCCAAGCCCACTAGGTAGGAGATGATCGAAATCCTAACCCTAAACCCTAAACCCTAAACCCTACAACAATATATCTACAATCTAAACCCTAAACCCTCCACCCGCCCCAAGCCTACTGCGCCTGACTTAGATAACTGGAGCTGACACTCTGAGACCTGCGGCTGTGATGAATTCGTTTGTGCCACCGCTGCTTCGTCACCTGCTCTTGGAGGCTCTTGGAGGCTCAAGGGTACCCTAAACCCTAAACCCTAAACCCTAAACCCTAAACCCTAAACCTTCTAAGTAGGGATATTGTTTTTTCTTGCCACCCGCCTAGCTGACCTTTCGGCCACTCCACAGGGAACTATCTGGCAAAAAAGGGATAAGTTTAGGGTTTAGGGT